ACGGTTCACAGTTCATGGAGCGTTCATGTTCATGACTGAGGGCCACATGGTGGAAAAGTGTTGAGTTCTCCTGCCTTACAGCAGCAGGATCAGCTGTGCACTGAATGATTCTTTGGGGTTTTTGTATGAGGAGTTTTTGTTTCAGGACTTTCCTCCTGAAGTTTGATTCACTATGGCAGTGATTCCTCTGTGCAGTGGCAGCGATCATGTGGTGTGTCACGGAAAATTGTTCAGTTTCACTTAATTGATTTTAAAATTATTATTAATTTACTGTAACAGGCAGAAAATACGCTTTTTTCACTAGGTGGCAGCAGATGGCTTTTAAACAAAAAAAGACTCGGCTGTTGAAGATCTTTCTTCAATTCCTGTGAGTATATCAGCAGTGTTCAACTAAACAGGCCCAGGTTTCACACTGAGTAAATTGTGCAAAAAATTAAACTAGAAGATCCTTATATTTCACAACATATATTGGTTTTTGTCTCCATTCTTGGCCCTTTGCTGGACTCCTGAACTGTCCACCCTGACGGGACATAAAGCTCACGTAATTTCCAACACTGCAACTAAGAAGACCCCCTAATGGTCCTTTACTCCCTGACACTCATTAGTAATTAGAGAGATTACAGCGACTCAATGTTGTTTTCCAACTTTTCTTTCTTTATTTCAAAAACACCGAAATTTGGCCGATCGCACATCATCATTGCTCAAGTGCATTCACTTGTCATGCATGCAGACAGAGATGAGTTTCACACAGTGACGGATGGTTTTCTGTATTCAATCCACACCATTCATCACCATGGTATCAAATACTGAGCACACAGACTGTGTGCTAACGATTAGTCTGCTGTTAGGATTTAGGGGGAGCTGGTTCATGAGACCCTCTGACCCTGGGACCATGTTTTAAAAATCAAACACTAAACTTTCTGTTCAGGCTTTTGTTTTTAAACTGTGTTGAAGGAAGTTTATAGTGCAGTAGCGTCTAAGACATGTTAGTGATTTCTGTCTTTCCCAGGTCATTTCAATGAAAGAAGACAACTGAAAGAAGTCAAACCCAAACCAGGTCAGTTGCCTGATGATATTTAAGCACAAAAAAAAACCTAAGTTGCTGAAAACATTGTTAAAAATAATAATAACGTCAAATGTGTCATGGGTTCACCTGTTAATCCAATGGTTTCATTACATGGTTTTTGAAACAAAATTTCCATCCCAGATGTTAACTGTGTGCTGCTGAGAATCACTGCTGATGTTTGTTCACGTGTGAGCGCAAACATACAGTCATTTTTTTAAAAAATTTAGAATCTGAAGAATGTTTCCTCCTCTGTGAGTTCTGAAAAGCTTTGCGCCGTGTTCCCGATCGTACCTGTTAAATTCACATACAAAATTCTGGAGGAGCTAGGACCCTAGGAGGAAAATAAATGGTGTCCTCTTAAATGAAAGTGCTTTGACCGAGCGAACCATGTGACATGGTTTTCCGTCACAGCTCTTCCTTCATACAGAACCAGGTGTTGAAGTCTGTGTCTTTATGTGGACAGAAATAAAAAAAAAAAACATTCAAGTGCAATCAGGTTGATGCGTTGATTGTTTGTGAGTGAGTGAAACGTCTGCCCATAAACACAGTCACCAGGTTTCTTACTTTGATCATGCATTAAGGCACCGCAGCTGAACGTTTGTAAAAGCTTTGTTTTTTTTTGTTTTTGTTTTGTTTTTGAAGAAAAAATAAAAATACCATCACTCCTTTCTTTGTCATGCAAATAAACTCAAATACTCTTTTTTTGTAAAAGCTATAATATATATATATATATATACACATATATATATAATATAGGAAAACTCTTATATACAGTCAAAGGTCCAAAGGTAGAATTCTCTCATTTTCGCCCCTGCACATACAAACACTGTACATGACTCCCTACATTTACATGCTTCAAATGTAGATAACATTTGTCTGGAGCTAGAATTTGAACAGGTCACCTCCCAGAGGAAGGTTATAACTATGTACAGCCGTAACGCTCAGATGGGATGCCACCCACACAAGCTCCGTCTTCACTCTCCGGATGCCCTCTGTGTTTCCGCCCCCTCCTGGTGTGTTTTCTTTATCAGTCCATGCCCAGGAGGCTCAGGTTCACTCTCCTCCAACATGAGGTAGCAGTTTATTCCCAGTGCAAAAAAAAAAAGAAGAAAAGGTTCGCTCATTGTTGCACGAGTCCGTGTTCAGGGGCCGAGAGCCAGCTCCTGCTAGTCGCTGGCTCTCCTTAAAGGGGCGCTCTCGCTGTCGGAGGCTCTGAGGGCGTGTCCGTTGGGCAGTAGAGTCTGTCTGAGCTCCTGTTCGCACTCCGTGTCGGTGCGGTCGTAGCTTTTCATGCCGGTCAACTTTACCGGTTTGTGGAAGGATTCTTCCGGCGAGGACAGACACGTGGACGTCTTCCCCGCTGGGCTGACTGAGGGGAACAGAAACAGAGGAAGTGGAGTTAAAATCTGTATCAGCAGAGTGAGGTCAAAGGCCAAACAGTGGCCCAACAAGGTGTCCACATGAAGCTGTCTTGTAGAGGGTTACTACTCTTAAGTATTTTCCAGGACTTTTCCAGGACAGTTCCTGGTTATACACCAACACTAATATTGTGTCTTAATGGTTTGAAACGTCCTTTCTCTACAGCTGTACATTTGTATATTGACACAGAATACTTCTATGTTTACACAGAAGACAGACAGAGGAGGTGGTTGTTGATAAACAGTCAATGCCACAGACTAACATTGTTCAACTAGAATGTTCCTGGATTTGTCCTTAGTACTTTGTCCTGAGGTGGAATCAACCGAAAACTGAACAGGAAGCATCTGAGGGTATATGCAAATAGACTGGGAGCGTCCTACAGTAGTGGATGAACCAGCTGCAAACAGCGAAATGATACGTTTCTATATTTCCTTCGGACTTAGTGATGGCAGACATGCATGTGCGCGACCTTTAACATGATTGTTGGTGAAGACAAGGGAGGAGAAATAACTTTGTGAATATTGGACATTTAAATTTCAAGGTTTTCCAGGACACATGGGAAGTCTGGGAGTTCTTGAATCTGGCAGGAATGGGCAACAGTTCCCCTTTAAATCAGCAGCTGTGACTGCGTACAGAAGTCTGGGAGTTCTTGAATCTGGCAGCTGTGACTGCGTACGCTGCACTGCCCCAACTTCTCTGGAGTGATTTCCTGATCTGTCTGTGTTTGACAGATTTATTGTTTAATTAGTAAATAACTGACAGGTTATTCAGTGTTGAACAGACTCTGTCGTCGTGAACTGGAGAAGAGGATTCTGCTCCGAGACACGGAGGCACAGGCGTGTGTGCACAGGGCTGTGTGGACCTGAGGAACCCAGGGGTTCTATTTGGAGGAGATGAATCTGAGAGAACAGGCCTCGACGTGCAGCGGCGGGCGTTTGGCAGCAGAGAGAACTCAAGTGTCTGCACTGAGCCATCTCCTGAGGCACTCTGGGAAATGCAACCATGATATACCGTCAAATGCTGGGCGGAGCCGACACCTGGAACAATAGTGTTGAAAGGAATTCTTCCTGATAAGAGTTTGTCGACAGCAGCCAGTTTCTCATGGCATCAGCTGATGGAGAAGATATTCTTAGATAAACCGGGACGATGAGAGCTGTAGGAAGTCCTCCGGATTTATGGCCTTTTTAATTACTTTTTCTTTGCGTCACCCGGCTGGTGCTATTCGATCCCCAGCTGATCATCTTACCTTTTCTGTCATGTTGGTTTCCTTGTAACGTGTTGTGGTTTTTTGGATATGTGGATCCCTGAATATCCTTCCGGATCCCGTTGGGTGTCCCGTTGCAGTGCGGCGCGGCCTGAGACCCCGGTTCGTGGTGCTCTGCTGGGTAGCAGCGAGAGTACGGTGGTGGAATGGAGTACTGCTCGTACTCCGTGCCTCTGGCGGGGCGGTAATTCTGTGCCAAGTAGTCTGAATCTTTGGAGTAGTTGTTGCAGTTCTCCATGCAGTCTGTGCACACCACGGCAGGGTCGAAGCCTGCAGGCAGAGAAAATAAATGATTTAAAGGCCCGAAAATCAACAACTGTGTGTCAACACAGTGGTCTGAGCGTCTGCTGCCATTAACTCTGATGCTGAGCAGATCTTTCTGCACAGCGGGGCATTCATCGTTACGCAACGGTGACATTCACCCACAGGCAGGGGGAGAACTAGTGGAGCGGGGGGAAAGGCCGTAGGACTTCAGTGTGTGTCTTGGGGCTGAGGTGGTGGGGAAAGCGGCGGCAAGTGTTGGCTACCTGAGGTTTCAGTGACATGTCCGTTGGGCTGAGGTCCACCACCGGCCTCCACGCGGATGCACACGTCCTGTCGCTCGGACAGAGTGCCCTGAGAGGACAGGTAACTGGGGACGTCTGGGGGAACGATCGTCTCATCTGAGGGACAAACGGGCAAAAGAAATTAGTTTGGTTTGATTCTTTTTTTTTTTTATGGTTGTACTCACTAAAGGTTAGTGTGAGTCATACGAGTGAGCAAATTTAATTTAATTTAACCACGATTAACAGAAGAGAAGCCTAATAAGGATAAGGCAGGTTTATAAATGAGCTAATATCATAAATGTGATTTTTTTTAATTTTTGTGAAACTGTTCACTCAATGTTAGAAAATGAAAATCTCCACCTCCCCTGCAGGGGGTGCTTTGAACACAGTTGTGATGTTGTTGAGTGTTCACTCAATGTTAGAAAATGAAAATATCCACCTCCACCTCTTTATGATGTTGGTTGTTGATGTAAAACTAATTTGTAAAACAGTTTCCAGAAACTGATCAGAAGATTCTAGGTTCCATTCATGGTTGGCTGAACCATTTTAGAGCGGCCATTATGGCCTTGCCGTGAAAAGGCTTGTGATTGGATGCTTGCTGGTTTCAGGCTGTATTTTGTTGAATAAGAGCCAAAATAACTCCCTCCACCTCCGGGGTGCAGCAGAGTGTCGCCCACTGGTTTCATTAGTGTGTGTGTACAGTATAATAGTCCGTTTGTGTGGACTGGCAAATAAGAAATAAATAAACAGTTTGATTTGGCTCACCTGTGTTGGTGACACTGCACTCCTCACTCTTCTTCCTGGTCTGGTAGATGATGCACACCCACACCAGTGATGTCACCACTATACTCGTCACCACGGCGATAACGATGATGCCTATAGTGACTGTGCTGGGCCCGGATGGCGCCGCGCAGACATTTCTGCTCTGCGTGACCACCAGCTCGCTGTGAGCACGCACCGTGCCCAGCGTGTTGGACATGAGGCAGGTGTAACGACCGGCGTCTTCCATGGAGGCGGCGCCGATGATCAGCAGCTGGTTCCCCGCGGTGAAGTGATAACGCTCCGACGGGCGCAGGGGCTGGTCGTTTCGCAACCAGGTGATGCGGGGCTGGGGGCTGCCCAGGGCCTTACACTGCAGCGCCACCGTGTCCCCGACCACCACGCTGCGATCCTCCAGGTCCTGGGCCAGGTGGGGGGTTTCTGTGGACGAGACAGAGGATTTCTCACCAACAGATCAGAGGACCTAGAGTTCTGTTGCTCTATTGTTATTGTGTAGCTTCAAAGTTTTGTGTTTCCGCTCTCGGGTTTCTGCTTTGTTCCCAGTCTGTGATTCTGCCGGACAGACTGAGGCTACAGACAGGCTTGTGTTTTCATTTGAACCAGGTTTTAGACAACAGCGATCTGCACGTAGAGGAATGTTGTAGCAGGAAGTCATTTGCGTCCGTTCTGTTCTGTTATAAAAGGTTAATGAACCGTGTGTTGGTGAAACAATAATCATACTGAAGTAACTGATGCTGTTATCAGTTAGCCTGTTGGCTAAAGTGTTAGTGTATGATCTATGTTACTGGATAGACAGATGTACTTTATTGATCCCAAGCTGGAAAATGACTATTGTGTCTCAGCGTTTTCAACATGTTTAAACAAATAAGTGTGGAATTAAAATTCGTTCTTAGCAGATTTGTAAGTTTGATGGTTTGGAAATCATCGTTTCAACCTTCAGCCAAGGACGATCATTAATGTCCAAATCTGTCCACATTTATTTGTATTTTTTCCACTCTAACTTCGACACATCACGTCAAATAAACCTTTGTTACTTTTTCCTACATTAAAATAATTGGTCCACATCAAGGTCTGGATGTTACGATTCAGACATGAATAGGCGATAGAGCAGACACTCCAGGTTGCACTTTAATAAAACTATGAAAAGAAAATAGTTTGCTAAAAAAATGTTCATACCGTACATATCTGTTTTTAAAGTAAATTTAGTAAGTACGGCTTTAGTAAAGTAAGCCTAATCTTTTGGTCAGGTCCAAAAAGTAGTAGTATAAAAAAGTAGAGTAAAAGTTTTATTTTCATAAACTCTGATCTGAATTGATTTGATTAATTCTGTTTTTTCAAACTGACCACAGCTTCATTACAACAACAATTCTCACCAGAATGAATTCAACAGTTTCCTGGACAGATTTACATCTTGTGAATGAAGCAGTGTGTGTGTTCGTGTGTGTGTGTGTGTAAAGGCCTCTCCTCTCAGAGTGAACACTTCCACATCACAGTGGGACAGATCAAGATTAAATCTTCCTTAATCCACTGCAGTCACTCCTCACTCTTTTATCGTGACTCCCTCCCTCTCCATCAGTCCCTCACCCCCCCCCCCCCCCCCCCCAAAACCCCCCCCCCCCCCCCCCCCCACACACACACACACACGCTCCACATAACTATTCCACTTCTTCTTTGGCTCCCATTTTTCTCTACCACCTATGTTTTCCAGACAGAGGCCTCTCGACTGCAGACCTCCCCTCCCCCCCCCCCCCCCCCCTACCAAACCCAAACATGACAGAGTCAGTGCAGAGGCCCAGTATTTCACTCACAACATTCTCTGCTGTGCAGTGGATTAGCGTTTGTCGTGAGCTGCCGTGTTGTGTCTGACAAGTGCAACACAGATATAACCAGCGGCGGTCGGGCTAAATCTGACATTTGATCACAATCACAAAAACAAGACAATCAAAAAAAATTGTGCCCATTGTGTGATGTCAATGCAGCAGTAAACACTACTGCGGTCCTGCCCCCGAACACAAACACTAGTTTCACTTTCAGCACGTTTTGAGAGAGAGGAGGTGTAAGTTGAAAATATGCTAATCATTCTATCTGTTTAGACTGCGCTGCCGTTTGTTACTAGTACGCTGCCACAGAACAGAACAAAATGCACTTGTGCACTATACCATGGTGCGTTCAAGCCGCCTAGGAAAATGGAGTAAACAGCATAACAGCCATAAAGCAGCAGCCCTAGGTCGGGCCATGTTTCTCTAATTTTTAAACTCTTCGGACTAAATTTCCAAGCTTCTAATAAAGCAGTAAAATGTCACTTTTTTAGTACTTTCCAACAAGGGGGGCGTTTTATCCAGTTTGAAAAGAGAGGACAAAGATGATCAGTGTGCTGCGATGGTTATAGGAGAGCAGTTCCGTTTTTGTTTGATTTAACAGTGTACAACAGCCAATAAACTTGGAGCACTGAGGCCTGCAGTGAAGCAGCCGTGACTGTCCCTCCCACCAAGACTGCGGGGGTGGGAATGCCTAACAAACACCCCTCTATGAGCCCTGCTCACCTCCCCACCATCCCCCTTTGCCCCTCCACCGTGACCTCTGGCCTTTGACCTGCAGCAAGGCCACAGCTGCCGAGAAAAGAAAACTATAAAGCCTCTCTTTCTCCAACCTTGGACGGTTACGCTGCCAGCTGAGTGAGGAGCTGCGTTCCTCTCTGGGATTGTGGGAATGCGATCGACACTACAAGCAGGTCACAACTGGAACAGGGACAGAAATATCACAGGAAAACAAGCCAGACTTACCGAGAACAGTGAGCGTAGCATTGGCGGAAATTGTGCCCGCTGTGTTTTTGGCAGTGCAGCTGTACACGCCCATGTCCTCTGGCTTGACGTCCATGATGAAGAAGACGTCGTCGTCGGGCATTACGTGCATCCTGCGCTCACGGGCGGCGGGGAAATCTGTGCCGCCATCTTTCTGCCAGGCAATCTGTGGTGACGGGTGGCCTTTGGCAGCACACTCCAGCCTGGCCGTGTGACCAGTCCTGATGGTGCTATCCTTTGGAGTCTTGTCGAAAGATGGAAGAACTAAGGAAAAAATACAAGATCACAACTCCATCAGTATGAATGTCTCTAAGCAAACTTTGTCTCTGAACGACAGACGAAAAAATATTTCTTTTCATCATCAAAGGCAAAGACTAAAGAACCAACTGTTTCCTATTATTCTATTCCTACAGGTTGGCTTGATGACCTTCATGTCCAATCAATAAGATGTACAATGGATTGACATGTCTCACTTAGTGGTCACTTAGTACTGCTGACCAGTGTCATACTGCAGTAGCGGGTATACTATGGAGCAGAGAACCTGCTGTGCTGTAGTGCTGTACATTTCCAACAATATTACGACAGCTTTCTTTACCCTTTGACGAAGCTGGCATAGAAATGGAGATCAATCAGCAGAGTAGGCCTTACTCAGAATAATCTAGCATGGCTCCACACCTCGTCTGCTGACCCAGCCAAATCATGTAACTGATCTGTGTCATATTAACAAGCACTTCTCATTATACACTCACGTAGACAGAGGAAAAGATGTTTGTAGATTTATTTTCCAACAATTTGTCTTGGAATGACTTAAAGGCGCCTACCGTTGACGATGAGCCGGGCCTTGCTGGAGTAGGTGGAGCCAAAGTGGTTGGTGATGATGCACTGGTAACGACCTTCGTGTGCAAAGGTGACTTGTCGCAGGTGCAGGATTGTGGTGTACTCCGTTACGCCTCCAGCAGCAACTGTCGCGTCGGGCCCGTTGCCTCGATGGTGTGCTTGTACGTGGGTGTAGTTTTCAGTATCTGCGTGTTGAAGTAGTTCCTGGTCCTTACGCCATGCGAAGGTCATGGGGGAGGAGCTGCTGCTGGCAGCAGTACAGGTGAGCTGTACATTGCTACCAAAGACTGTCACTGTTGTTTCTGGCTGGACCGTGATCTGAGGCTTTGGGACGTCGTCTGAAAGTTGAAATTAATGAGAAAACATCCCACAAGATTAATAAGAGACAAAGAAGACAGTTAATAGATGGAGACATATCAGAACAAAGGTCATATAGTTAATGCTGAGTAACATAATAACACAGGATTATGTGCTTGTATAATAGGATTAAAATATCTCTGTGTCTCAAACACCTTTCGCTGTTGTATATTCAAACAATTTTTGCCCAAACACATTTACAAGCTCTTTGATGTCTGCGCTCAATTTCAATGATTCACCAAAGACTGCAGGGAGTGGGTCAAAGGCATCTACAGAAGAGAGTTCAAATAAAAACAAACTAAGAAGAACCGGCCAGGTTCTAAAACTGCTGTGATACTGTGATTCATAGAGGTAAACAACAAACGTGTGAGAAGACAAATGTCTGTACATTACTGTGAATTTGTATCCGAAGAATTAATTACAGACCCAGAAAACTCACCACAAACAAAGCTCCTGGACGGAGCCTGGAAGATGCCCGTGCCCTTCAGGCTTTCTGGATGGGCACATGTGGCATTGACTCCAGCCTGCAAACCACGTGTCAGCAGCCACTCGGGCAGCCATTGGAGCTGGCAGTCGCACAGGAAGCTGTCACTCTGGATGAGTCTGAGGGGAGAGATGTGCATGTGATATATATACCACACCTGTTACTGGATAGGCTCTGAGTTTCTGAAAAGCTGCATGGATGCCAAAAGAACACCGTGACTGTGTTCTTTAATTAGAGTCAAGTGTGACAGTCTATCTGCTTCTGTCTGTCTCTCTGAACGTGCAGTTTTGGACCTTAGGGATGTGTGTTAGTGTAAATGCGTGATGTTACTCACAGAGACTTAAGGTTCTTCATTTTAGTGAAGGCGTCGGGCTGGATGGAACGTATAGCATTCCCTGCCAGGTTCCTATTGGGACAAAACATGGTGTTCAGATACACTCGCACACAAGAGTAAATGTCCACATAGCGCTTAAAGGTTTTCACACTTTCAACTAGGCCTCTATCAGTGAGGAAACATTCCCAGCATTTTCCATTATTCCTTCAATAATCTGCCTGTGAAAGTGTTTATAGAAATTCCTTTTCTTTCATGAAGCTAACCATATGTTTGAAAGCTCTGTTCCTGCATGAGGGCAGGTGAAAAAAATGTCAAAGTTGAATTTATGCTATGCTAACAAGAAAGAAGCAGCTGGGTGCTTCCAAAGGCCCATCTTCTCCTTTTACAAAGAAGCTATTAAATTGCTAGCAGTCTCCTCTGTGCCAGCTACTTTTGGCAACACCCCAGGAAACGCGAACATTAAACACACACACGCACTCCTTCACACTCACTCACTCTCTCTCGTTGGGAGGAGGGACAGCTAAGCATTGTGGGATACTCACAGGTGTTCCAGGGTCTCCAGACCAGAGAAGGCTTTCTTGGCCACGGACTTGATCTTGTTTCCAAACAGAGTCCTGCCGTTTCCAAACATGAAGGGTGTCGATGGATGAAAAGAGGGTGAGAGGGGAAAGGGGGAGCAACAGTAACAGGGGGAAAGAGAGAGAGAGAAAGACAATTAGCAAGGCTCAATCTGATAAGACTGAGGGGACTGGGGTATTGGAAATCTGAACTGCATGGAGATTAGCCAGGATGGAGGATGATTTCAGTCAGGATGAAGCTGTGGTGGGTGGGGGACTGGGGGAGGGGGGGTTGTCAACTAAGCTCTGCACTGCTCTTCAAAGAACACTTTTATCTTTATTAGAATGTAACAAAACGTCCTGGCAGCCATGTGCTGTGCGTCTCTCTCCCCCTGAGGAGGTTTTAAGGATAGTCTGAGTCTGTCCCTGTCGAGCTTGGCTTCAGCTCCGAGGTAGCCGTTCACCCTGATTTGGGGTCCTAATCTCTTCTTCTGCTGTCTGCCAACTTCCCCTCCCTCAAAGGTCTCCCCCGCTGCAGCCTTTGCGTCATAGTCAGAGGAAACATGGCTAGCTGGCACAGCATGAAGACCCCAGTGTTCAAGCCCACTCACATGTTTACACAGACTATCCTGTGTCTGGTCATAAAGCTTTTTCTGATAAGCCTCCAAGGACAACTCTCAAACTGTTGCTACTGCTACGTGGCTAACCACTGCAGGTGGGATGCAGATCCTAAAGAAATCTCTAGCTTTTACAACTCAAAAAAATCATGCGGACCAGATTATGGTAACAATACAACAATACCTTCAAGTCAGGGGGCAGATGTGTGTGGATTGTGGGCCGGAATTGGCCCGCGGGCCGGGGGTTTAAGGTGTAAATTGCAGCTAAATATCCCCAAGTGCCCCTCAAAGCATGTCTTTACAAGTGTCAGGTGTGTGTTCACATTTGCACCCATAGATCAATGTTAAAGCCAGGCCTTAATACCCTTTGATGTCTCATTCCTTCTTTGGCTTTCTGAATGTCTTTTTCCCATGGTTCACTTTTGCCAGGATTGGGATGCAGCGGGCAGCTTCCGCCAATGTCCCGACAAAAGGGGCCGGGTCAGGGAACGGGGCGTGTGATGCGTTTGAAGTTGATGACTGAATGCAGCCCTCAATTTCACCCTCTCTCAGTCCCTAACAACAGGGACTGAGAATGAGAGGACAAGAGGAGCGGAGGCATGAAGGAGAAATAGAAATAAGCCTATTGGAGAGCAAACCCCTGCCAGCTCAAAGAAAAGCCCTTTCTCGCGTTCTTTCTCTCTCAGCTACGCTCACACTGGGAACCATGTTGGCTGGATCCATCTTTTCATTCTGCAGTGTGCAGCTCAGTCCCAGCAACTCCAGGTCCAGGGCAATTTCTTAACTTGCCAACCTTTGGCAGAAAATAGTACCGTTTGGATATAAATTTGCCTCTTTAATTTTTTTTTTTAATTAAATGGTCAAACAGAGAGCTAACTGCCCGTTAGCTTTTTTTTAAAAAAATTGAAACATTTTTGATGAACATCTCCTTTATTAAATGAAGCAGGACACTAACTATTATACTACACCAGAACAGATTTTCTTCTCTGTATTCCAGAGTTGTGAGCAGAAAGATACATAATGCCTGTAGTTAATATGACCAAGCTGGCAAACAGCAAAATAAAGATCTGGACGGATGTTTTGGATACAAAAAAAAATAAAAAATCGAAAGCTGTTTCTTTGGCCCTATGACTTTGGAGAAAAGCACTCTGAATAAATTGAATTAGCAGCAGGCTAGGACAGAGGAATGAAAAGAAGTGTATGCTAGAAAATGAGGCTGGGGGATAAAAGCAGGAGCCAGGGAAGATACTCACAGCTTGTTGAGACTGTCCAATCCAGAGAAGGCTCCATTGGTGTCCTCTATTGTGCCAGAGATGTCGTTATGGTCCAGCTCCCTGTGGAGAATAGGAGAAAAGAAGGGGATGAGAGAGTGAGAAGGGGGAGGGAGGGAAGGAAGGAAGGGAAGAACAGGAACAGAATCTTCTAGTGCTGCGGTGTTACAGCGCACTCGCCAAAGCTGGTCTAAAAGCCTCAGGTTTACCTCCTGTCTCCACCACCTGCCCCTGGTCCTTCATGGTTTTCACTGTGCCAACCTCGGTTATTTATCCCTTAGAATGGTGGGGGCATGTGCAAGTGAAAAGTTGTGTTGGTGTGTTGGAACTAGCCCCAGTTTGGGAAAAAGCATGTATAATTCATGAACACACGGAGGCTCTGGCAGAAACACAATACCATTGCAGAGTCCAGACAGAAAGATTTGTTAATCTAGGCAGTCACTGTATGCAGAGGCCAAAACCCACACTGTGTTGTGTTAATAAGGTTAAGGGCCATGTTCAACTTTAGTGAAAAAAGAAAAAACAAAGAATTCAGGGAGAAAGCTGAAGCTGCCAGGACGTCCATTTACTTCCACCTTATTGGTCTCTTCTTTAGATGATAGGTGAAAGAAAGACGACCGGATCAGAGGTCTTCTCTGAACCATTTAAGACCATTCAAACTTAAGAAAATCCCTTTGAGCTTAATGGTCAACCACACCTCTACCACTTCTACAATAACATCCTCAGATCCACCCCTTCCTTTTAACATTCTGTGCATCTTTTACTCTTTTTTGGTCCTATTCAAACTCTTTTGGCCTCGGTCATAGTCAGACTGGAAGGGAATGCCAATTTCCTTCTCTTTCTGGCTGGTTGCATGTGAATGGCTGTTGTCTTGTTAAAGTAAAGCCAGTGGTGGGGGCTGTGAAGCACAGAGAGAGACCGGGCACAGAGAAGTGGGCCCCAATGAGCCAGGAGGGCAAGATGGCTTGTATTGGAGCTTTCACAACCCGATGCAGGCTCCAGCCCCATGCCAGCGCGTTCAGCAGCAGACCCAATTAAAGCTCACCCAGCTCTTTCTCTATCCCGGCCTATGTCTGTCTTTCCAACCACTGATTAGATTAGGCCAGCCTCAAAGACACAGGGTGCAGAAAGAGAAAAAAAATGACACTGAAGAACTAGAAAGATAGTTAAAGTGGATTACAAGAGCAGATGTGTACCATCAAAAAAACAAGAGCCACAATGGCCAACCAGAGACTAAGGTATCATGTGGAGAGAACAAAGACAGAGCAGTGCCTCCTCAGCTCTTCTTTTTTCAGTGGCTTATTAACAACCAGTGTCCCAATAAAAGGCAGCTTGGCTGTGTCTCCACCGACCGACAAGACTCTTTTTACCGCGCACTACCTCACTGTGTTCTCTGGCTCTTACAGAGACAAGGCACAGCCAAGTGGACATTATTTGAAAACTGAAGTCTTTCTTCTGGATTTATACCGGACTCCCTTTCATTCCTGCCTCGTTGTAATTAGTCTGTTTGTGCAGAATGTGGACCAGAATGGGAAACAGTTTGGCTGTTTGTTTTTATTCATGACTTCTCAGAACATCTCAGAGAATCTCTATGTTTTTATTCATGACTTCTCAGAACATAGAGAATCTCTTCAGGGGAGTTAGTGACAAAGAAGGCTGGTAACAGCCAAGTTTATTTCAGAGAAAACGCCCAAACAGACCTACTGTATGTGACCACCAAAAACACAGAGAGAATAAGACGACAATCCACCAGACAGTGAGAAAAATGATATTACTTCAGGGCTATTATTAAAATGTAATATTCTTATTCAGACTACATATTTTAAATGGATGTAATTTGGCTATGAAAACATATTTAAAACATAGTCATAATACCACTTTCTCCTTGAACTAGCACGTTGGGGTATCAGTACTGAGAAACACCAAATCAAAAGTGAGGGCTATTAGAATGCAGATTTCTTTTAAAACCTCAAATGTAGAAACTAGCAAATAGCTAAATAAAAATTGAGAGAAATAAAAAACCTGTGATGTCTGATCTTATACCCAGACTTTCTTAAATCCACTGATATACCACACAAGCAAACTAATATTTCACGTCAACTCTCTCACAACTCCCAAGTGGCGCATTATTCACAGGTGCAAACCATGATGACTTAGTTACCAGAGATTATTGGTGGCTTAGTAATTGTGGTGAGAGTGCCTGAAGGGGGGGTGCGCTGCGGCGTACTTACAAGATGCGTACAGCCTTGAGGCCTCTGAAGGCTCCCTCTGTGATGTGGCTGATGGAGTTGTGGCCCAGACGGAGAGTGTTCAGATCCCCTAACACAGCCAGGCTTCCTTCATCCAGACGAGTCAAGTTGTTGTACGACAGATTTCTGGAGAGAGCAGGGAGCAGAATATGAGACGGACAAAAAAAGGGGAAAAGAAAAAGTAAAATAAGAACAGATGCAGAGAAAACAGAGAAAAAAGGAAAGAGAGTTGGAAATGGAAAAGATGTAAAAATGTACAGTGTGTGGTCCTGAAAAGAGATGATGGGTTGGCAGAACACTGAAGCAGCTCAGAACATCAGCGTACGCTGCACCCTGCAGGCCTTGTTTTTTGTCTCTCTGGCCAGACCTTAGGTCTGCTTGACCAGTCATGTGTGCAGAAATTCTCCGTGCTGACCACCTTAACCTGATCTACGGGGAATGCAATAACAGGCTTCTCATAAAGACCGGTCTCTCGCTCGTATCAGCCAAAAGGTTTATCATAACTCTAGATAATAAAAGCATATAACCACTGCTTTAGTGCTGAGATGAGGTCATTCAGGGATAGCGCTGGGAAGCAATCTGTCATTCTTTATACCCAGGCTCAGGAAACACCATTGGCATAATCGTCATCTATCACTTGATTTCTTCTTACGGTTACACAAACACAGGTATTCCATGTTCCTGCAGTTAGCTACGCCTGGGATGAGCAAAGCATTTACATGAGCAAAACGACAGTCATGTCAACAGAACGAGAAAGAGTCCCCAAAAATAACTCCTCATTTACTAGACAAAGGGACTGAAGGAGATCCCTCGTTGTAATTGCCACAACACCACTGAAGGAGGATTACATGGCGGTTTTCCAAACCTTATGCTTCAGAACTTAGTACAAAAACTCTTGTCAAAGGACTTGAGTGCTGTTGAGCCAAGCTCTAATTATGGGATAAACAGGCTTATCCACAGAATAGCGTAGCATATTGAGTGTTAACACACAATGTTATTTAACCCAGGGGAAGGTAGACGAATGATATGGGTGGGGGTGGAGATGTGTGTTCTCAGGCTATAAGAAGAGGGAGGGAGATCTTCTGAAACATGATCTTAAAAAAAAATTACATGGCAAATTTCAAAACATCTGACATACTTTTTTAGGCTCAAGTGTATAATCCTATGTTAACAATTATCTTTGCAAGTACAGGATACTTAACCAAAGTAAGTAGGTTTTTTTTCCAGAGCATACGTGATGAATACAAAATGCTGGTACTTACAGTTCCCTGAGTTTCTGACAGAACTTCCATCCATCAGGATTGATGCGGGCTATGGTGTTGTTGCTGAGGAAAAGCTGCTGGAGGGAAGTCAGGCCGTACAAGGAGCCACTGTTCACCTCTGTAAGACTGTTGTAGTCCAGATGACTGCAGAGGGACAAAACAAGTGGGTAACAAGTTGGTATTTCTGAAGACACGTTAAAGTAGACTGCAGCAAACATGATCTACAGCAGTGTTTCCCAATCTTCCACAACACATACGTAGTTTACTATAGAACACAGTGCTCCACAAACAAACATGTCACAAAAGGTATGATTCATGACATTGTTTTCTACTTACAGGACTTTCATCTTTGCCAGGTCCCAGAAGGCCCCGTCGGTAAGCTTGTTGATGCTGTTTCTTTGCAGCTTCAGCACCTCAAGGCTGGACAGACCCTGGAATGTCAGACCCTCCACTTGGCGAATACGGTTCCTGTTCAGCTCACTGAATGAACAACACATATAAACACTGTGGTCATGGGAGAGAAGACTACACGACACTTTGTCACACCTTAAATGTTTAAATCAGGAAGCACTTCTGTCAACTTTTTTCCCTTTTCTTTCAGGCTGTGTTGCTTTCATTTCACTGTAAACCAGCATTCATCAGAGCTAAATCAAAACCAACGATTCCTGTGGGCTGCACGATTTAGTTGAAACAGATTGCCTTCAATGAACCCCTAGCTCAACATACATTCCACAGTGGTGTCCTTTCCACCTGTGGCAATTGGCCAGCAGTGTTCACCTGCAGACTTTGGCCTACAAATAATTATTTCAGACACAAACCCTCAATTAGAGGGAAGTACTAAAAGGAAGAGTGCTTTTAATTAAGCTGTACAGTGTGTTTTCTCCTACAGTCATTGTCTGAGATTAAATAAAACTGCACATGCAGAATAAATGTGTCTGTCTGAAGGCTTTAAAAGGCTCCAGGTGGGCAGGGGTAAACACACACACACCAGTTCTTTGTGTGTGTGTGTGTGATGTGCATCACCACTAGCCTGTGCAGATAGATACAGTGTCACCGGGGCCACCTGGCCAACAAAAGGCACCTGGGGAAAAACCGAAACCTCAATAAAGGGGGAGACTCCCCTTACATGGATCCCTTCACTCTCTAGAATGGAGGTGTTGATCTACGAATGGATCAACCTCACAACTACGCCAAAGGGAAGTTTGACTAAGATAATGGAGTGCAGCACCAGGTATGAACAAACCACTCACAGGATATAGAGGACAGCAATAAATCACCCACAATGCAGCTGGTATTTACCTACTCAGGCCACATCCATCAACGGTAGATATGGTATAGCTCACACTTCACAGCATCCAACATGTTTGACAAACAGAAAACACACAGACAAACTGCTCGTGGTAAAGTAAACTCTTTCGACTTCTGTAATGAACCCACAGCAGTAAAGCCTTTCAACAGCACACTAGAGATGGAACAAAATATTGATACACGGAAGTATCGAGATATTTTGTTCCACAATATTGTAGCAATATTTTACAGCACTGTATCAATTCTTTATTTACAATTAACATGCAAATATTCATGGCGTTGGTTTATTTTATTTTACTTTTATTTCTTCTCTAGCGATTAACAAATGTAGATCTCACCCTCTGTTTCAGGAATCTGATGTTAAGAACGTAACAGCATTGTTTATTTATGCTGACAGTTTTCTTATAATTAAAAAGTTTAAAAACCCCTCAATATATCAATGTGCCTATAGTATCGTGGTATATTGTAATATATCATACTGTGCCCCTGCATCGTGATTCGTATAAGAAGATTCTTGCCAATACACACCCCTACAGGACACACGTATTTACAGGTTATATTTGGGCTGATCTTGTACTCACAGCAGAGTCAGCCTTGGGAGCTGGAAGGCTCTCACAGGGACTTGGCTTATGCGGTTGCGGCTCAGTCTCAGGACCTGAAGAGTGGAGCCCAGGTTGTCCAGAGCCCCCGTCTCTAACACGCTGATCTTGTTGTTGCTCAGATACCTGAAAAAAAAAGAACAGCACATTAAGACACCAGCTAATTAGTTTAGTTTTACCAGAATTAAATTAATATTTTCTAACAATACATTTGTCGGTTCCCAAAGGGGGGTGTGTGCTCCGTCATTGCATAAGGGGGGCAGTACGCCACATTTACAGTATTTGACTTTTAACACTTTTTATTTGTGCCACCATGGAAAAAACAAGTGATTTGATTTTTTTTTCAGTAGGATGTCTGTTTTGGAATTTTCATTTCTGATGTGAACCTATGTACAGTTCCTGGGACAAGTGTCTGTAGTTCAAAATACTAAGCTGCAATATTTATGTTCAGGGTTTTTCACATAAAAACAAATGTAACTATTAACTAACTATTCTTAACTATTCTAGAACTAGTACCATGTATATATACTTACAGGTCTCTGATTTGAAGACCAGCAGGAAAACAGTACCCCCGCAGCTCGGTGATGTCATTGTTGCTGAGGTCCAGCGTTTCCACAGACACCAGTTCTCTGGTTCGTCTGCCGTCTATAATTCTGATCTTATTGTGATGTCTGAAAAAGAAAGGCGAACATTAAAGACATTTGAGTTGTTCATATTAGAATCCTCATCTCTGATCTTACATCGTGTTCCTGTGACATGTCCACTGTGTCAAATCATTATCCTGCACGATTTGAGTGACCTTTTCTAGGAGGGAATACTCCCTAAGCTTCATTAAGGCCACTCTAACACAGTACACAGTGTACTCAGTACACAGAATAAGTGGTCTCCACCTAACACGAAATGTCTTTTTTTTTTAAGAACTTCAAACAGAGTCTTGGTCTTCAAACAATTCCAAGGGCACCCGTCATTCTCTTTATTTATCTTTTGCTCTCCCTTCAACAATTTCTTATAAATGCTGTATCTCTCCATAGAAAGAGACATTTATAAATGAATTAATCTCTCCAACAACTGAACAAAAAAAAAATCTGTTTTTTTAAATTGCGTACAGGGAAGGTTTTGATTATAGTTAATTAAGTGTTTGACAAGTCCTACAGTAAACCACCTGTAAAGATCCATTTTGTTGATCGAGTGACTAATTGAAAGCAGTCATTGAATAAGAAATCATAAAATTTCTGCCTAGAGGTTTGGAATCATGTTCTCCGCTGACTTCAGTGTCTTCTTTTCACAGGGAAACCTGAATGACAACGGACTGAAACCCTCTGTATGTCTTCTTTTAAGAGTCGTTCACATAATTCACAGAGAACATATTAGTGTTCCATGGAAGGCAGCGACCAAAAGGCCACAGGAGACAACGTCTGGGGATTTATGACTTTGTCTTCAAATTAAAGGTTTGTGCTATAATTCTTACAGCTCTCTTTAGAAAAGTCTGTCTTGGAGGGTTTGAGTGTGAGCGTGTTAAGTGTGTGTGTGTGTTTGATCAGTCAAAACAAGGCCAAACTTAGCTCCCAGCAGATGGACACACACTTTCACGTGCACACTTGTGCACACACACCCACACACAGAACAGAGTCATTTATTTAACAGGGAGGAGGAGGAGGGGAGTCACACCACTGTGGCCCACCTGAATAAACAGTGGCAGAAAGGATGAGCCATGCAAGCACGCCTGCGCAAACACACACACACACACACACACAATCAACATGTGCACACAAAGCCCGAAGCAACAGACAGTGGCAACAGTGAGCACAAGCAGAGAAGGGAGGGCTAGGGTTAGTAGAGGAATTGGGGGAGGAGGCAAAAAAGGATGGAAGGGCAAAAGGGGTGAGGCAGGGTCAACAGCTGGTGACCTTAGCTGGGAAAAACAGATCAGTCTCAAACTGGTGGGAGAGGTTGACCTCTCTCACTTCTCTCACCCCCACTTCTTATTTTTCTTCTTTTAGCGCTCGGACTAAATTCCCTTCCCTTCTCCCGGCCGCCCACAGTCAGAGCCCAGCTGTGTGTGAGAGACTAAACCTAAAAAACCTTTGCACTCGCTCCGTTTCCACGTGTTCAATAATAGTGTATATTAATATTATTATATTATTGGTAAGCCTGACTTTCTTATTTTTGATGCCACTTATTTTCATATGTCACACACTATTTCACTGGCCATTAGCTTGTCTTGAGCCTAGCTTCTTTTTGGATGTTTGCACTGGCGGAGTGTCACACGTTACTAACTCCAATCTCTTGTTGGTGACTGTTTGTTGGTGATCAGGAGTCAGATGATCCACTGGGACAAATGAATTCTATCCCAAAGCTGTTTAAAGAGCTCCTTTGATGTTAACTGGAGAGGTGAGCGACACAATGGAAAAGTCTGTGCTGCTCTGCCGACAGTGCGTTCTCCAAACTTTTTTGGCTTCTAATTTGCCGTACTGCTGTGGCATTTTGGAAGTCTTTGTCATCAACTCGCTTGCCAAGCGTGCTTGAAGGTCTGTTGGAGTTTGGCTTATGGACTTTGGAGTGTCAGATTCTGCAGTGTTTACATCAAAGAGAACAAAAAGGACTTTTGTTTTAGGTAATATCTGAAAACCTAGGAATTTATCACAAAAAACTGTGAGTGGTATTAATTTGAAACAATGAAAATCGAGACCAAGTGAGGGCTAATACACACAATGAAGTATTAATTTGAAACAATGAAAATCGAGCATTGCCTATGAGCAGAGTCTAGTTTTAATCAGCACTCTTTTTTTTCTGTTTGTTGGATGTGATAATTTTCATCTTTGTATCAGTGAAAACACTTGTTTTTATTCACTAGATAACTTCAACTCTTACACCTAGTTTTTAAAAGGTTCACGTTATTAAACAGTAATAACCTTTACGCTGTCACAGCTGTGTTTATTTTGGCTTTGACTGCAGCTCTTGTGACATTGTAAATTCTTTGGGCCACAGGGCAGAGCACACAACACTGAAAACTGTTGATCACTGTTTTAAGGTTAAAACTACACAATTACACCCGACTGACTGCAGGAAGTGACACACCCCAGGGTTTCTAGAGTGCGATAAACAGCCTTTCAAAGTAATGGGGCTGTTCAGATGTTGTCCAAAACAACTAAAACAAATAGTATTGTTGCACTGTTTGTGTGGTGCCACTTGCTAATGAAGAGATTCATTCAGGAAATAACCTAACTGGACCTGTGACCTGTCTAGACAGATCATGATGGTTTGTTTGATCTGTTGCTTTTCGCTCCCTGGTACTTTGTTTGCCGCTACACTAAACAAATACATGATTGCCTCAATATTCTGAAAGTTTAGTGTGACCCTAGAAATAGTTGGGTTCCAAAAATGTGTAAAAAAAAAATCTACTCATGCTAATCAGGTGGTTATTTTCCTGAGGCGGTGTAGCTGTCAGCTTGACAGTGGAAGCTGCATGTCATGAACTTTCTACCTTTCAGAAAGTCAATCGCCACATGGGGGAAACGGGGGTGGGGAGAGTTGTATGTTTCTGTGTGCGTGTGCGTGTTCGTGTGGTTAGCTGCCACATCCCACAAACGAGTAGTCAAACAACATTCCAGACCATTTCCAAGTCTTAGCACTGCTCTGCATTTAGTAAGACTGCTTCTATCAAATCAACAGTATTACCTGTGCTAGAACCGTTTACAATAGTGTATTTTAGGCCAGAATGGGCAATTGTTTGAGAGTTATACATATTTCTAGGTGAAGGTCAAAGAACCTGGTAGATATGGGCCTGTAGACTGTCCACTTTGAGAATGACTTTCAAAATAACCAAAAACGTAACCCATCTCTTGCATTGCTGTTTCTGCGTTACTTCCCTACTGACTTCTTCTTTCAGTATTCCTCTTTCACATGGTGATGTCAACCTCATCAGGCATATTACACATCTTCTATTCCTTCTGCCCTGCCTTCAACCCTCATTTACTCACCCTTTTCCCCAGCTCAGTGTGACCCGTTTTACTGTAAGCCATATGACTGACAGCTGCAGCTGTGAGTGCTTCGGCAAGCCTTCACTTCAGCTGCATGGCTTTGTAGTGATTCGACACTCCCTCCCTCCAGCTTCCAGTCCTATCATGCTGGCTGGCCTTTCCCCCTAGCAACAGGCTACAAGTCGGGCCAAAAAAAGACACCCCAATTATTTGGAGGGGCTGCAACTTGGCACTGTTTGTGGAAGTAAAGGTTAACTTGCTTCAGTGTGTTCCCTATTAAACATAAAGTGTGTAGGAGTTTGTGCCGAACCCAACAGACTGATTGGAATCTATTGACGCATCCAACTAATTCAAACCTTTTGGGTGGAATCTCTCTCGCGGGCAGCTGTCAGAGTTGCTAACTCAAATTTCCTCTCTTGCTATCTGCTTGAAGAAAAAAAACACTCTGACCACATTGCTGCATCACGATCAGTTCTGAGAAGCAGCCAGATTACACAGAGGGAGAGTCAAAGGTATGACTCCCACGGAGCTGACCACTGAAAATGATATGACAACGATCAGCAATATGAACGGCAGCTGCATCCTTTTCTAACAGGAAGTTTGCTGGGTTGCCAGAGAGGTGTTGAAAAATTACACAATACCCTTTCTCATTAAAGTGTGAGGGATACAAGACTCTGGTAGAACCAGAGGTACAAAACTGTAGCAGTCTTCCCGAAAGATAATATGGGTTGGAACACCCAACAGTGCTTTGGCAAGTGAGTGTTAATTAGGCTCCAGTAACCTTAGCTTTATCAGTGATATGGTTTGATCAGTTACTGCAAAATTTCGTATCAGTTTCAGGCATTTCTTTTTCATCTAAACGCCTATTTATGTCAGCCTGTTGTACTGTATTTGATTTGCAGCAAATTCTTTCATATTTTGTATTTTATATATAGTAATGGAACACTGAGAAAGATTTTAAATATGGAGATTACCAACCAACTCTGTCTCGAGTACAGAAGAATCAGTAGCTTAGTTGTCACAATCCTGTTGAGTTATATTCTACTTTTATCAGTCAAATTGTCATAAGCACTGTCTGCTTCAGCTAAATTTAAATGTTTAATCATTAAACCATTCTTTCCACACAAACTCTGCATTTACTTCAGGTGAAGTCATGTCACCATTTTTTTGCCAATGTGATTCCTTAAACTTAAAATAAAAAAAAATGAGGCTGCTGACAGAGTAAGCTCATGTTTGTGACATGCACAAGCGTGCACATGCCCTTCCCAAATAGGGCAGTAAATCCCCAGTGAGATGCCATTGCAGGCAGTCCCCACAGGCACCGTTTCACAACTAGGAGCGGAACTATGGAACTATATACAAGCCGACATTCTGAACAGCCAGTACTGCTCACTGTGGACGAGGCCGCGCGGGCCAGCTAATATGACTAGTCAGTTACCCAACCACCTACTAATCCATCCTGACAGAGCTCCACATTTGCACCAAGAAAGCTCAAGTGCAGTAAGGATTTTGGAAGTATGCAGCTTTACATAATGAATTCACATTCATTGCGGACCTTGCATGAATGTTGTCTTACTTTAGAGATGTACATTGTCAACAGATGCCAAAAGACTATTTCAAGAGCATGTCAAAGTAGCCACTGACCTAAGAATATGACAACAGAGGGCCAGATTAATCCAGTGCTATGTTAAGCATTATATGGTGATACTCACAGGTAGAGCAATGCAATCGTGGAAGCGGCCTGTCCTAAATCGGGTATGGAGGTCAGGTCATTGTGGTCCAGCCGCCTGAAGGTGACAAATACACAGATGAGGGGTTAAACTAAAATGCACTTTATGGTTATCTGAGATGCAATAAAGTTTACCCAGTAATCATATAAACACTTCCAGTGAGTCATTCCCTGCTCCCACTTCATGATTTTCCCACTTAACTAACTTCAGTTAAAAAGAAAATGGACACAGAGGGTAAACCCAACATAAGAGCAATAGCATGTTAATAAACTGGACTACACTTTACAACAACAAAATCTATCTGGTTCAGTATGTAAAACTATATATGCTATTTGTTCTTACATGTGGTCATTCCACCCTGCTCCAATCACAGTGAGACAAGCTCAATCAAAGCATTGGTTAATCAAAGGATGTTAAAACAATTTGTCACGTGTGCCACAAAGCAAACAGAAAGTCATCCGTTTAAAAACCAAAATAGCACAGGAGTAAAACAGATGTCGTTGAGTGTGTGACTGGCCGGCCGGTCTGCCAAAGATGTCACCAGGGTGTGTATCACAGGTTAGGTTGTGCATGTGTGTGTGTCATGTGCGCTGGTGCTGAGTGACACGGAGCCTGGCCCTCTCCTCACCATATAAAATATTTACAAGGCCAGCATTGGCCACAGTATCAGGTGATGGAGGGGAGGCTTAATATAGAAAACCACCACTTTATTCTCAATTGGACCTAGTTCAAAAAAACACACACAGAAGACCAGGGTGGCAACACTGGACATTTATCTGAACTATTTTATATGAGCGTTCTTTGATTGATTTGATTTCAAAATCCAGTACAGTTTCAAATAAAAAAAGAAATTAAAGAATAAAGTTGTATCTTTTCCAAATCAGCATTTTTAAGTCAGTATAATGATAATTAAAGAAAAATTGTGTTTCAACTTTTTTAATGTTCTATAACCTGGAATGGGTATTTTCCAAAAATGATTACTTACAGTTCTTTCAAGTTGGGCAGGTTTGCGAAAGCTTCCACAGTGATGGTAGTCAACTTGTTGTGGCCAAGATTTCTGAGAAAAGAAAACCACATAACTGGTCAAATCAAAGTCTGTTGTCAGAGAGCAGTTAAACAAATAAAACTAAAATCAACATGGCTGTAATTTGTTCAGATTATTCTATGTACTACTGTAATCGTTTTTCTTTATAGCAGCTCATGTTAGCAGTCTGATCAATGCCAACAATTATTTCTCCCATTTGACAAACAGTCTCATCTGTCGGCATTAAGTAGAGTATGCCTGAAAAACACTGCAGTACATCAATTTAGTCGGCCTTGGCGGAGGCTTGGATCGATACTATTGATACAGAGTGTATCTCTCTCCTGGCTCACTTTCCAAACATTACCCACAGGCCATTCATCTACAGCAATCAATTTGCACTTCAGGGCTAACAGCACACTTAATAGCTGGCACTTGACTCATACAGAGGTTTATAAGAAAGTGATTTTCCCAGTGATAAAGCATCACTACTGTCAGAACCATGTGTGTGTGTTTTTGTGCGTATCTGATACACATCAGCATTTGAGACTTGTGCTTCCCACGTTTTACAAATCAAATTCGTTTCTCACATAAACAAGCATCTCTGTCTCTTGTGCACGCACACACACACCTATTGCCTGGCTGGCACGCAGCCTGCCAGTTGGCCACAGTAAGAGCAGTGTTTGTGTGGCAGGGTGAGCTTCGGTGAAACAAAGGGAGCCCACAGCTCTCACCAGACCGCCCTCCCCAACCCACTGCCCCACCGACCAGACGTGAAACGGCCCAGGAATTTTTCACAGGCCTGCCGAGGGAAGGCTACTTGTTCCCAGACACTGGGAACACTTTTACCTGATGCAACACATTCCTCATCATCTTATACTAATGTGGTCATAACAGACCAAGGCAGAAGGGAAAAATAGCAGAAAGGTGGACAAAGAGCCTCATAAGATGCAAAAAAATATTACCTGTTGAGCTAAAAGCCATTACATTTGAGGAAATGCTTAAGTATGAGCTTTGTATAAATGTGTGTTTATTGAAATTACTTTTTGAATTAACATTTTCATTTTTTTTTTTAGGAACTATGAATATAAAGGGGCAGTGATCGGACTCTTGCCTGCCACGCAGTATGTCTGGGTATGGGTTTAAATCCACCAATTACTATACAGACTACTATGGTGTGGACTTCAGATCCAGGTAAAAACTAAGTAAAAATGTTTTACTGCTCACACGTATGGTGTCTTTGTGTTCATGTTTTTTCTTATTATTAGCGATCTAGTTAGAACATTATTATTATTTTCAGCTCAAGGAGAATATGGAGTATAAGGCACAACCAGTACGGCTTATTAGAGTGTGATGAGTTTATCAAGTCGTGCATATTCAGTACTTCGTAGATAGTAATAGTAATGAGCAGGTTAGCCAATAACTTTAAAGTCATATCCTTCCATCACATTGTGCACATTGAAGTTTTTAATACTCTTTATGCCTGTCAATCTCAATATTCTTCTTACTTGACGATTTCCCTTTCTTGTCTTTAGTGCTTGATTGCAGATAATGACAGGTTCCTGTCTCAGTTATTTTCCTCTGCTTGTGTGTGTGTGAGACAAGATAATAGCAGAGCATGCGTCTGCCCTCCAGGCACAAGCCTGACAGGGAGGCATGCATGTGTGTGTCTGTGTTATGATCGTTTACTGACGCACCTACCATTGTGGCGTAGATCGCTAAATTGTCCCCTGCCAAAAAGGCAATTACCTCATTATAGGGCAGTTAAAACAATATCTCACAGGTTTTCTATGGGCTGCATTACACACACCTTTCTAATTAAACTTCTGTTGGCACTGTTCTTGGACAGAGGTTTTTATTACTGAATTAAAGGAAAATAAAGTTTTATTTAGAAGCATTTGCCTTCAAAGCATTTTTTAGTGTTTGCAGGTGGAGGAAATTGGCTGTAGAGGCATTAAAGTTTTTGCCAAAAAAGGCAGGTTTGAGGGACAAATATGCTGGTGCTTAAGGTATAGCATCAAACAAAACCAGCCCTTTGTGTGTGTGCACAAGGCTCCTTCACAGTCACCAACTGTGTTTACATAACTTTCTCTCCATCTCATATGGCCAGATTGATTCTCTTTCCTATCTGATGAGATAACTTTCACAGTGCTTTAACACCTACTGTATGAGATGTTCTGGTGATAACACCAGTGTGCTCACAACCTTTCGTTCCATCCCCCCATGTTCAGTCTTGTGAAAGGGAGGGAAACCTTGCTATGCGTGGTTAATACCTTCCAAAAAATTACCTTACCATTAGGCTTTTTCTGGAAGAATTTGTGATGAGGTATTTGTGGAGTTGATCCACACATGTAGAAGTCATTACAGTTTTAAGTTTATATTCATAAACACTAAAAAATACCCTAGACAAAATTAAAAATGTATGTGTTGATTGTTTATTCCAAACTACAGAAATCATCATCCTGTCTGTGTTGGGGTCAATTACTGGGCATCTGTAGAAGCAAAGGTCACCATAACATTTTTTAAGACTGTCTTACACCAAACAAGAGGGCACAGGACTTACCATAAACAGAGACCATGACAAATTAAAGGAAAACAGCTTTCTGTTTATAACAAAGCAGAATTTAAAAATGAAAAATGTCAGCAATGCAAAATTATACTTTAGTTATTGCCAAAAAGTCAACATGGGATTTGTTATGAAACAACTCATAACACCCTTATACAAAATAATTGATGGATTTTACATCATTGAAATTGGCATTTAGTACAAACTTTTTTTTTACTTTTAAACCAAAAGACTGATGTCTCTTGGTGATGATATATCATTGTCATTAATTTTATTTTTATATGCCAAGCAAAAAATAAAAAATAAACAGTCGGATCTAGTGATAATATTGCAATTGTTCATGAGAAAATAGCTTTATTCTTCAGCCTACTTGGAAAACAAGTCTATAAAAGGCCAAAAGATAAAACCAAAAACTAGTCTGCCTGTCTAAGTATAAGCAGGGAACTAAAAGGCTTGGTGCCTGCAGAGGACCGTCATGGTTGGACATGACAGATAAAGCTTGTAAAGAGGGGTTAAAAAAATATTTCAGTTATTGGTGCTGGGAGAGAAGAGGAAAAACTGGGAAAGCAGAAGTGATATCATCATAGCCTATGACATTGAGCTTGTACTATAGTCTCTGAAGGGAGTAAAAGATACTGAGGGGAGAGATAGATCATCATTATCATTACCACTGCCATCATCGATGAACGCAGTGTGATGTGATATTAGTGATGGGCCTCCTGCGGCGCAGCCAGGAGACCTTTTAATGTGGTTGATTTCAGAGCATCATAAAACTGGTTAAATAATAACCTGTGACAGAAAAGAGTGTGCATGTGTGCACACACACACACTCTTCTTCTCCCTGTCATTAAAGAGCAGTTTATAGCTGGAGAACTGCAGCTAGAGAGTACACAAGGCCAACACCAAGTGCAGCAAACCATTTTCAAGCAGCCATCAATCAGGGCAAGTTAAATTTCTGTGAAAAATTCATGTCAGGCAAGGTGACACCACAAGGATAGCTCCACACTGAAAGGTCAGTTTCCCAGTGTCGTACATTGTGTCTCCCTTTGATATAATTAAAGAGTAGTTACATTCCGGTTTCCACCTGTTCTGAGCTCCACCTAAACTAAAACTAAATCATGCTGTTGATCCAGGTGATCCAGGGCCTGAGAATGAGGCTCTGATGCCAATGACCAGATTTGACGCAGCTACTGTCAACACATACTGAGTAGAAAAAAAATCCCAAATGTAACATTGGCTTTTATGTTTTGTTTTTCCTCATTTTACTCTTTTTGAGTGCGAATATGTCTGCTAACAGTGAACCTCTTATGTAAGTAATAAGTGTGATCACAAGTGTCAGTGCTGTTTTAAATCTGCTGAATAACATCTAGTAGGTGCTTTGTTGCAATGAAATTAAATGTTTACCACTGTTAATATGCTTTACAGTTTAGAATTTCTCTGAAAAACACAAAAGTTCAAAAATAATAAATCTGATGATAGAAATGACACCTTAAACTTTAGTCCGGGACATCTAAGGGATGAGAAAAACTTTAGTGTAAGATCAAAGAAATGGAGCAGTAAAGGGAAAGGGGGGGGCAGATTTCACCATTTGCATTACAGATTCCCACCCCTCCTCTCACACTGGAGCACAAAACAACAAAGGAGCTGCTCCAGCCCTTGAAATCACTCTGGCTGGGAGCGTGACTGACTTTCTGAAGTTTTTCAAGGCAGGAAGGCAGCCCACATCTTGGGGCCATGTGCGCTGCAGATCTCTATACAGAGGGTCTAAAACTAAGGCAGGAGATGAGGCTGAGCACACTCAAAACAAACAGGGAGACGGTTGGGGAAAGGGGTCTACGATAGCCCTGGAGCCCAACGCACAAACTAATGGCCAAATTTTTGCAACACCAGCCGGCACACTCCAGACAAGAGTCACAAAGATACTAGTGCTCAACACAAAGGCTTTACTGTGGAGTATATGTGAAAACGCTGTGCACACACACAGGATCACACATGTGCATGAAACACTGGATTCCAGTAAGACAACGTTGTAATTTGTTAGAAATGGCGCCAGACTCTTCATTAGGCCGAAAATGAACTTTGCGTCCACAGTTAATCTGAAAAAGTAACATAAACACTGTATGTCTGTTAGTTGGGCTGTTGTTTGAGCGTTGTGCCAACATCTGACCTCATGGTCTCAGCTTCAAAGTGCAGAAAAGACAAAAACCTAAAATGTCCTGCTGTTTATTTCTTTTACAGGGAAATATTTACCCTTAAAGTGTCTAAATTGTTAAGAGTATTGTGTTTCTAAATCCGACAATTTGTATCATTGAAGTATCAGAGGATATCAGAGGATGACAACGTATATAGCAGTGTTCTCAAAATTTCAAATATATATATATATATATATATATACATATATATATATATGTATGTATATATGTATGTATATATATATGTATATATATCTCGAAAGCCTTTTCTTTTTTAG